GGCTAATGTTGGGCTATAAAGGAACTACAGCACGGTCACATGACTTCACGTCACCACCGCTAAGCTAAAGGCGGCTAATGTTGGGCTATAAAGGAACTACAGCACGGTCACATGATTTCACGTCACCACCGCTAAGCTAAAGGAGGCTAATGTTGGGCTATAAAGGAACTACAGCACGGTCACATGATTTCACGTCACCACCGCTAAGCTAAAGGAGGCTAATGTTGGGCTATAAACAAACTACAGCACGGTCACATGACTTCACGTCACCACCGCTAAGCTAAAGGCGGCTAATGTTGGGCTATAAAGGAACTACAGCACGGTCACATGACTTCACGTCACCACCGCTAAGCTAAAGGCGGCTAATGTTGGGCTATAAAGGAACTACAGCACGGTCACATGATTTCACGTCACCACCGCTAAGCTAAAGGAGGCTAATGTTGGGCTATAAAGGAACTACAGCACGGTCACATGATTTCACGTCACCTCCGCTAAGCTAAAGGAGGCTAATGTTGGGCTATAAACGAACTACAGCACGGTCACATGACTTCACGTCACCACCGCTAAGCTAAAGGCGGCTAATGTTGGGCTATAAAGGAACTACAGCATGGTCACATGACTTCACGTCACCACCGCTAAGCTAAAGGCGGCTAATGATGGGCTATAAAGGAACTACAGCACGGTCACATGACTTCACGTCACCACCGCTAAGCTAAAGGCGGCTAATGTTGGGCTATAAAGGAACTACAGCACGGTCACATGATTTCACGTCACCACCGCTAAGCTAAAGGCGGCTAATGTTGGGCTATAAAGGAACTACAGCACGGTCACATGACTTCACGTCACCACCGCTAAGCTAAAGGCGGCTAATGTTGGGCTATAAAGGAACTACAGCACGGTCACATGATTTCACGTCACCACCGCTAAGCTAAAGGACGCTAATGTTGGTCTATAAAGGAACTACAGCACGGTCACATGATTTCACGTCACCACCGCTAAGCTAAAGGAGGCTAATGTTGGGCTATAAAGGAACTACAGCACGGTCACATGACTTTACGTCACCACCGCTAAGCTAAAGGCGGCTAATGTTGGGCTATAAAGGAACTACAGCACGGTCACATGACTTCACGTCACCACCGCTAAGCTAAAGGCAGCTAATGTTGGGCTATAAAGGAACTACAGCACGGTCACATGATTTCACATCACCACCGCTAAGCTAAAGGAGGCTAATGTTGGGCTATAAAGGAACTAAAGCACGGTCACATGACTTCACATCACCACCGCTAAGCTAAAGGCGGCTAATGTTGGGCTTTAAAGGAACTATAGCACAGGCACTATACGGTGGTAGTGGAGCACGCTCAGGTACTGCGGAGCGCATTAAGCTTAGCAGACTCTTCGCGCTAACGAAGGATCACTTCTAGGCTACTGTCCCGCAGCTCCTGCCTCTCTGTTGGACTCTGCCGCAGCGGGGCTACTGCTGCGGAGCGCATAAAGCAGACTCTTCACAACGAAGGATCACTTCTTCTTCAGGGCAGGGAAGGCTACGCAGTACGCAGTCTACTGTCCCGCAGCTGCTGCCTCTCTGTTGGACTCCGGTACTGCACATTGCTCACGAGAAAAATGAGTGGGGGGCAAACGCACTAACCACTCCGCCAACGCCACAGTCACGGCCCCTACACACGGCGGCGTGCGTTGCCGCTTGGCGGTGGGCGTATCTTGAGCTTGGGGAGTCAACGCGAGCAACGGGAGCAACAACCAATCACATGAATGTCCCGCCCCGGACATACAAAGCAAAGCATTCACACTACATCCATGCTGGCTAAATATACTGTCTATGCTTGCTAGCTGTCCATTCAAACGAAGTACACTGGATATAAACTCCCCAAACAGGCGAAAACCTACCAGTGTCACCCACTGTCTCTGCCACCTCCCCCCATGCCTGGCTCCTCCAGTTTGTATCCCTGTATGTAAAGAGGGACTGGTCATATAGTACCGGGTGATTCCCTACCGCCACGATAATTTTCTCCTCAATTTTTTTACATATGGGAAATAACTGCGGTCTGGCTCTCCCAACATACACACGGTTTGATTGGCTAGCGCTTGAACTGTCAGATTTGCATATGCGGGATTTGATTGGCTGACGCCTCCGTCGAGGCGGCAAAAGTAGAACATTGCTCTACTTTTGCAGCGAGCACCGTGAGAGAAGCTTTGCTCCCACAATGCAGTTCGGCGAATCGTGACGTCACCCCATTCAAAGTGAATGGGCAGAAGCGTTGAAGCGGCAACGCACGCCGCCGTGTGTAGGGGCCGTCACCCCCGTCGTGCGGGCCGGATGAGAATGTCTGGCGGGCCGGATGTGGCCCGTGGGCCGCCAGTTGATGGTCACTGCTTTACAGGCAAAAACGTATCAACGCCTAACCTTGATGAATAAAACACTGTATGATGAATAATAAACTATTAAATTATCACAACAAAATATCTAGAGGTTAACACATGTTTACGCTTTAACGGAAGACGATTAGGGCTACGTACATTTTCTCGAAAATCTGAGAAAAAAAGGTGACATTTTCTTTTTACTCTTCAGAATTTTTACTTTTTTCTCAGAATTTTAACTTTGTTCCTTATCATTTTGGCTTTTTCTCAATATGCTGTCTTTTTAAAAGCTTTACAATTAGGGAGACAACAAGGAATGCACTTCTTCTACTGTTTTTGTTGTGTAGCATAACTCTACTCACATTTGATCTTCACATTTTACTAGCAGAGCTATTGATAAAACACACACTCACAAACTGCCATGCATGGGTTAAGTGTCTTGCACAAGGGCATTACTGTACATTAAGTTACATTACTCCTAACCTCTGTTTGGATGCAGGCTCATACACCTTTAAACACTTCCTACAAATGCAATCTTCCCAGAAAGAGGAAGGGGAATCTCTCAGATGAAACAGATTTACTAATAATGTTGTTGCAGTAAAGCTATCTCTTTCTCTACACACTGAAACACTGTGTCTCTGTGAGATAATGATGGATTGTTGTTTGGTTTAAATCTAGGCAGGGAGCCACATCTCTGTGGTTTGATGTTTCCCGTCTGCATCTCTCCTACATACATCTTCCTCAAGGTCATCCTTTATTCTGAGGAAATAGGGGTGCATAACAGTAACCGTGGAAAATATGTTGGGTTAAATTGCAGACACAAGGAAACCCTTTAAAGTAAACTGTCTCAACTTAATTTGTAGCCTTGGAAAGCAGGGCGATGACTGTGCACCAGCGCCAAGAAACACAGTAAGGGATCAAGGATCTTTTAAATATGAGCATGGAGAAAGTGTATGCTCCAGCTGTGAACTTTTATCTAAATAAAACCCCTCCTAAGAATAATGGAATTAAACCTGATAGTTATCTCCATTTTCTTGACTGTACCAGTATTCTGATTACATGTTTTTGTATGTAACTGTAAAGGAATAGTTACTTTATTGTTGTATCCTGATCAAATCATCCCGTTTCATGTAACCTGTTGCTCCTCAAGTCTTTCGTTTAGCTTCTGCCACCCGAAAACATTTCTGAAGCAGAGTCTTGCTTCACTCCCTTCGGCAAACTGTCAAAAATACATCATTAAGTCAGACTGTGCAATAGTCTTCCCTTTCTAAAACACTGGAGCTGTGAAAACAATACAGAACTGCTCTACTTCCCAAACCACGGTTATCAGAGGCAGGAGGCCGCGTTGAGACTTTAATTCTTTAATTGAATACCTCCTTTGAATCGAAGTTTGTAAAAAACGAGTTTTTCTAAGTCAGCTCTGTGTTTTTGTTTAAATACAAGGTTTCTATGTGACTGGAAGACAGTATTGTGAATTAGCTGATGATGGACAGGCATAAACAACAGCTTGCATTGGAACTAATCCAGATCTCACATTATGCAAAGCATGTCAGTAATTGCTAGTTTTGTTTTAAACACCTGAGCTAATTCTTATACAACTGTCTGATCATATTTCTGTTGTGAAAATACTGAATGTCCTCCTCCAACATGAGAGTAACATGATAACAAAGGTATCAACTGTAGCTGTGAACATGACAGGATGTCTGATTACGAAGAAGAGCATCAGGACTGTTTGAGGCAGATGATAGCTCTGTGATTAACATGATGATTCAGCCTCTATGGAGAGAGACATCAAGCATGCTCATTTCTGACGTGGAGCTAATCTGAAGTAAACATTGAATACTGCTTTCTATTCCTCCATCTTGTGACTGTGTAACTCCCTCTCTTGGATATCAGCATGTGAAGGACACTGTTCAGGAACTAGTTGATGCTCTGTATGTGATGACTACTTCCATTCTGGAGAGGAACACAAATACATGGATCCTGAGATTAAAGCTCAAGCCGGTGACGAATGATTATTAACATTTTTGAGATTTTGAGAAAAAGTCAGAATTCTTAGATTCTTTGAAAAAAAAGTCAGGATTTTGAAAATAGTCATAATTTTTGAGAAAAAGTCAGAATTTTGAGAAAAAGTCAGAATTTTTGGATTTTGAGAAAAAAAAGTCAAATTTTTGAGGGAAAAGTCAGAATTTTGAAATGTTGAGAAAAAGTCCATTTTTTTTGCAAAAGTCAGATTTTTGGAGAAAAAGTCAACATTTTTAGATGGCAGGATGTATAATTTCCTACAAGAATCGGCATTCCTCCATCTTGTGACTGTGTAACTCCCTCTCTTGGATATCAGCATGTGAAGGACACTGTTTAGGAACTAGTTGATGCTCTGCATGTGATGACTCCTTCCATTCTGGAGAGGATCACAGATACATGGATCCTGAGGTTGAAGCGCCTTTCCTCAGGTTTGGCTCATTTACTCTGACAGCGCTCTGTGTCATATGTTGCTTCAACCTTTCCATTGAACTACATTAAAACAGTTTTATTATCTTGGTTTTCCAAACATACTGTACTTTTAGCATTGGCGTTATACAAGAAATTCAAAGATTTAAAAAAAGAAAACGCCCAAAAAAGATACATTAGTTGTCCCAGATGTTTTTAATATCAGTGTGAATGCATAGAAGTCGTTTTTAATTTCAGCACAAACCACAAACACGCCCTTAGGAAAATACAGTACAGCTTTGAACACAGTGTTATTTTTGGCAACATCGTCTGACAGGAAGGAGCTGCTGATCTGGAATCTGTGATCTCATCTCGTATTAAGGACGGCTTACAATAAAGTGAGATGTTCTAATTAAAAGGTAGACACATTCAAAAGCACCACATCGGATCAAAGGCTTCAGCTAATTAGCACTGACACTGCTTACACGCTTTCATTATGAATGTGTCCAAACTGCTTCAAACATGTCCAGAACACAGACAAAGTTTCATTATTAAAACATTCACAGCCACATTAACATATTTTCTTAATTAGGAGAACAGTACAACCTTCAGTAAAATCATTGGCAACTCCCTGTTAAACATGAACGGCACAGATTATAGGTAGAAAAAGTAATGACTAACCTTGATGAATGAAACACTGGATAATGAAGAATAAACTATTTAATGATCACAACAAATATCTAGAGGTCAAAACATGTTTACACCGTTAGGGATGAGAATAAGGGCCACGTGCATTTTTTTTACTGCTCAAAATTCTGACTTTTTTCTCAGAATGTTGAATTTTTTCCAATTTTTTTGATCAGAATTTTTACTAATTTCTCAATATTCTAGCTTTTTTTCTCAGACATTTTCAGATTTCTGACTTTTTCTCCGAAATGTTGAGAATTCTGACTTTTATCCCAGTCTTCTTACTCTTCTTGTAACTTTTGTTCAGCTCTCAAACATTTTCAACATGTGGCGTTTATCCTCTTCCGTATACAATTAATAATACAAAAAATCATTAGATTAGTTTCGATAGCTACGGTTTTAAGGTGCTTTTTTTCTTGTGTTTCACCTCTACAACTATTAAGAGGATAATTCATAAAATGTCCACGTATTTAAAAGAACCTCAAACCTGTTTACAATACCATAGCATTTTATATATTTCACATATGACATTATTCCATTTCCTGAGATGAAAGAAGACTCTTCCTAAAAGCTTCCCGAACAAACATTAAACATAAAACCCTTCATTCTCCGACTTTAAAATTGCTATTAATGAAATTGACTGCAGTCAGAATAGTGCTGTTGTTGCAGTAAAATTATTCTCTTTCCAGAATTATTCCTTTGATTCATGGCCAACCTATAGAGTAAAAATGTAAAAAAGAAATCCAAATCTTGTTAGATTAAATGTGTAATCAAGCACTGGGTAACCCCGTCTGGTATTGAGTTAAATTAAACACCTTTGTGTGTGCAGCAACAACCTGACACCATAATTACTGCACTATATAAAGTTACTGCAGTGCTTTCACATGTTACACCTGCAGAGGAAACACATGTTAGTGTTAGAGGCAGAATTAGTGAGACAGAAAAAAAAGACTGAGAAAAAAGTCAGAGTTCTGAACATTTCTGAAAGAGAAAAGAAAGAGTTCTGAAGAAAAAGTAAAAATTCTGAAGAAAAAAGTAAGAATTCTGAAAATGTCTGAGAAAAAAAAGACAGAATTCTGAGAAAAAAGTCAACATTCAGAACATTTCTGAAAAAAACCAAGAAAGAATTACAAAGTGACTTCCGTGCCTTCACATGTTACACCTTCACAGGAAACACATGTTAGTGGCAGAATTATTGCATCTCAGACAGCAGTGGATGTTGACCCAGTAGATCCAGAGCTGCTCATCATGCTGGTCACCATAGACGTTGACCCCTCCCCCTCCAGAGCCTCTGGACCAATCAGGGCCTCCCGATACAGGTTGAGGATGGAGTCGGCGATGATGCGGGCGGTTCTCTTCTGGTACCCCCCCGATGTCACCATGAGGATCGGGATGCCTCGACGCCGCGCAGCCCTGAACACAATCTCATCTCTCTTAACGATGCCCTGAAGGAGAAGGAGAATCCACTTTTTTAATCCCCATTTTTGTATATACACTCTACAAATATACAAATTTGTGAGGAAAATTATGAACATTTCTAAGAAAAAAGTCAGGAATGGAAAATGTCTGAGAAAAAGAAAAGACACAATTCTGAGAAAAAAAGTCAAAATTCTGACGAAAGAAGTCAAAATTCTGACGAAAGAAGTCAAAATTCTGACGAAAGAAGTCAAAATTCTGAAATTCTCTGAGAAAAAAGTCAGAAATCAAAGAAGAAAAAGAAAAATCCACTTTATTAATCCCCTTTTTAAAGTTATTTTTAAATCCACAGTACAAATATACAAATTCAGAGGAAATTAATGAAAATTCTGATGGAAAAAGTCAAACTTCTGAATATTTCTGAGAATTTATTTTAAAGTATTTGAAAATGTCTTGAAAAAAAGTCAGAAAACAGATTTTTGTAGTCCCATTTTTTTTGTCTAAATCCTTGTCTGATGGAGCAGGTTCAGTACCTGAGGAGAAATGGAGAGTCCTCCCAGAGGGTCTCCATCCAGGACGTCTGTCCCCGCGTTGTAGACGATGATATCGGGTCTGACCTCGTTCAGAGATCCTTCTGTGTGGAGCTCCACCTTCTGAAGATACTCCGAGTCTTCAGTTCCCCAGTCCAGCTCAACCTTCCTCTTTATGGCTTCTGGAGTAACAGGGACATCATCAATATCCACAATTACTGCCATCAGTTAGCCAACCTAAACAAAATACTCCTGGGATGTCCATGTATAAGAAGTGTGCTGCCCTTGAAGCCCTTGAATGCCTTGCCTTGTAACAGATTTGTAGCCAAAGAAAGTTTGAGGTTTGTTTAAAATCTAATTACTTACAATTGTCAGAGATGGCAAAAGTACACACATCCTTTACTCAAGTAGAAGTACAGATACTCGTGTTTAAAAATACTCTGGTAAAAGTAGAAGTACTGACTAAACTTCTTTACTCAAGTAAAAGTAAAGAGGCTTTGAAATGTACTTCAGTAAAAAGTACCCATAACTAGCAGCTGTTTTAAAGAGTACCTGACCTCCCTTTATATTAATAGAACAATAATGTCATTGTTAGCTAATGAATGTTTCCATGCTGAACAACGGCAACATGACAACGTTTCCATTGGTCCCTCTTCTTTAGAGAAGACCAGGAAATGATGGATACACGGATCGTGTTCAAATCAATAGGCACGCAATGACTCTAAAGAATAATGATCACGCATCAAACACACATTCAGACTAAAGGAACCAGCTGTTTGGAAAATGAGAGAAGTAGAAAGTACAAGTATTTGAGTTCAACATGTAAGAAGTAGAAAGTACAGGTATTTGAGTTCAACATGTAAGAAGTAGAAAGTACAGGTATTTGAGTTCAACATGTAAGAAGTAGAAAGTACAGGTATTTGAGTTCAACATGTAAGAAGTAGAAAGTACAGGTATTTGAGTTCAACATGTAAGAAGTAGAAAGTACAGGTATTTGTGTTCAACATGTAAGAAGTAGAAAGTACAGGTATTTGAGTTCAACATGTAAGAAGTAGAAAGTACAGGTATTTGTGTTCAACATGTAAGAAGTAGAAAGTACAGGTATTTGAGTTCAACATGTAAGAAGTAGAAAGTACAGGTATTTGTGTTCAACATGTAAGAAGTAGAAAGTACAGGTATTTGTGTTCAACATGTAAGAAGTAGAAAGTACAGGTATTTGAGTTCAACATGTAAGAAGTAGAAAGTACAGGTATTTGAGTTCAACATGTAAGAAGTAGAAAGTACAGGTATTTGAGTTCAACATGTAAGAAGTAGAAAGTACAGGTATTTGAGTTCAACATGTAAGAAGTAGAAAGTACAGGTATTAGTGTTCAACATGTAGGAAGTAGAAAGTACAGGTATTTGAGTTCAACATGTAAGAAGTAGAAAGTACAGGTATTTGAGTTCAACATGTAAGAAGTAGAAAGTACAGGTATTTGAGTTCAACATGTAAGAAGTAGAAAGTACAGGTATTAGTGTTCAACATGTAAGAAGTAGAAAGTACAGGTATTTGTGTTCAACATGTAAGAAGTAGAAAGTACAGGTATTTGAGTTCAACATGTAAGAAGTAGAAAGTACAGGTATTTGTGTTCAACATGTAAGAAGTAGAAAGTACAGGTATTTGTGTTCAACATGTAAGAAGTAGAAAGTACAGGTATTTGAGTTCAACATGTAAGAAGTAGAAAGTACAGGTATTTGTGTTCAACATGTAAGAAGTAGAAAGTACAGGTATTTGAGTTCAACATGTAAGAAGTAGAAAGTACAGGTATTTGTGTTCAACATGTAAGAAGTAGAAAGTACAGGTATTTGTGTTCAACATGTAAGAAGTAGAAAGTACAGGTATTTGAGTTCAACATGTAAGAAGTAGAAAGTACAGGTATTTGAGTTCAACATGTGAGAAGTAGAAAGTACAGGTATTTGAGTTCAACATGTAAGAAGTAGAAAGTACAGGTATTTGAGTTCAACATGTGAGAAGTAGAAAGTACAGGTATTTGAGTTCAACATGTAAGAAGTAGAAAGTACAGGTATTTGAGTTCAACATGTAAGAAGTAGAAAGTACAGGTATTTGAGTTCAACATGTAAGAAGTAGAAAGTACAGGTATTTGAGTTCAACATGTAAGAAGTAGAAAGTACAGGTATTAGTGTTCAACATGTAGGAAGTAGAAAGTACAGGTATTTGTGTTCAACATGTAAGAAGTAGAAAGTACAGGTATTTGAGTTCAACATGTAAGAAGTAGAAAGTACAGGTATTTGAGTTCAACATGTAAGAAGTAGAAAGTACAGGTATTAGTGTTCAACATGTAAGAAGTAGAAAGTACAGGTATTTGTGTTCAACATGTAAGAAGTAGAAAGTACAGGTATTTGAGTTCAACATGTAAGAAGTAGAAAGTACAGGTATTTGAGTTCAACATGTAAGAAGTAGAAAGTACAGGTATTTGTGTTCAACATGTAAGAAGTAGAAAGTACAGGTATTTGTGTTCAACATGTAAGAAGTAGAAAGTACAGGTATTTGAGTTCAAAATGGAAGAAGTCAACGTAAAAAGTCATCAGGAAAATAAGTAGTGGAGTAAAGTACTGATACCAGAAAAATGTACTTGTAACAAAGTATTTGTACTCCACTACTTCCCACTTCTGACAATTGCATATACATTGCACAATGCTCGTAGCCATGTTAACTACTACCTGCAGTGCAAGAAAGCCCTTCATGTTTTATTGTTTACAATACAGGAACGCACTGAGTATTTTTATATTGTCTTAATTCACCAACATGTTAATGACGAAGTGTGAGAGTAATGGTCGATCTACTACCACTCTGTCTTCATTGGCTGTGGTTTAACTTAGTGTACCAATCAGAGTTTAACACACAACATGGGAACACTACATGAAGGCTTATAATTGCTGCAGATGATGTCTTTCAACACAGAGTAAAGGCTTGCTAACTGTATTCCTTTGATCCCACAGGTAAGACATTGTGTTTTTTCCATTAAGAATACTCAAATCTGCAGCACTTTTATAAGGAATTAGTATGTACATTTTAAATAATTAACGCAAACAATGAAAACAGTTAATAAGGAGAATACTGTGAAACTGATTTCTTGGTAGTCAATGAAAAATGTCAAAATGTCAATCATGTCAAAAAATGGTAAGCTTTGGTCTTTGAAGGTAGAGAGGAAGAAATGTGTCATATGAAGCAGAAGGAAATGCTGGTTTTATCTTAAACAACCAGAAAGTACATTCATTTCACTTTCTTAAATTAATTATAAAATTAAATTACGTGTCGAGAAGGAGATAGCCGAAGGAGGGGAACTACTTTAAAGGCAGTATTGTGACGTTTGGTCCGCAGAGTTTTGTTGGAATTGGGACCAAATGGCAGCATGTGGTTGTCAGATCAGCTTCAATGCAATGACAGATTAGTGTAAAAAGCAATGATTGTAATGTCGCACAGACTGCTGCGTGACAGCTTTCCTGCTGAGTTATAATGGAGTGAGTGGTCCTTCAGAGGGAAGTCATAGCAGACTTTAAATAGCCCAGAGTGTAATGTAAGATTTGAGCTGGAGGAGGCAGCGTTCTCCACTCAAACATCAACTTCTAACCAGACATCAGGAGAGATGTAGACCCTGAACTTTGACCCAGCCACACAGAGGGGAAGTGCCATTTGCAGCATTTGAAGGCAGAAAGAATGATTAACTGCAGCCTCATTTAAACGTTTACATACAGCCTACCACTGTTTTAACTTAGTATTAAAACTGCAAACAATTACAGCTGATACAGACACTGAACTCTACACACATCACATGCTTGGTTATTACTTTATATGCTGTATTATTGAAGAAGGAGTAATCCTACACCTCTAACAGACTTGAGCAAAGTAAATGTTCCCTCTGTATAGTGCCAATAGGTGCATGCACATTGACAACAGTAGACTTGGTTTGAGTTAAGCCCCTTTTTGAACTGCAAATATATACTTTTCCTCCGTAAAACAAAATCCTGAGTTTCATCCAGCACTACTGTGGGAACGCAAGAGCCCGAAGAAGCAGTGTCACAATGCCTTTATCTTATATTTACTTGGCGAGTAAGCAGGGCCGCCCCTCCCTACAGGACAATCACGCAGGCTGCATGGGGCCCCCCCTTGTGCAGGGGGCCCCGCCCAGAGGTCCTCAGCTGCTGTGCGCAGTTCTCCGCGCACCCCCCCCCCTCTCCCTCCCCGCTGACACGCGAGAGTGAGAGGTGACAAGGGGAGCACGTCTGTAAACCGACACCGTTGCAATGAATCGACATCTGACCAATCACGGCTTTGATACGGCCATTAGTGCAGGTGAAGAGATGTCGATGAAAAGACAGTTTCAGTCCGGCGCAAAAAACAAAACATGAAGAAACTAGCGCATCACTCGAAGGTGGGTTATTGTATGAGTCAAATGTACAACTTGTGAATGTTGTATAAGTCAAATTGCCAATTGCCATATTAAAACATCAGCTGCAATTCACGACATGAAGAAGGCAGTCTCTGCAGAGCATACAGGCTAATGGAGATGCAGTTATTTCCAGCATTCTTTATTTACCATTCATTCAAGTATGTGATGCCTTTTATCTGCTAATGTACAGGAGGAAGAGTGATACACTGTCTGTCTAGTTGGCTTACATAACAGTTCAAGTTTACAGCCTAAAAAACATGGAGCATTTTTTCCCCTTTTATTCATTTTTATGTCAATTTGCACATTTGATGGTGACGCTCAGCCTCTCCCCTTAACTCCTAACAGTCATCATCATGGTGACGCTCAGCCTCTCCCCTTAACTCCTAACAGTCATCATCATGTCAACCACAACACAGAGAAATACTGAGAGAAATGTGTGTGTAGTTGTTGACACATTGCTGACAGAGGGAACTAGAATACAGATTTAAGAAATATCAGTTTTTGAGCATGTCATAAGCATGTTTTGTCTTGACTATATTACAACTATATTATAATAAAATAATATAGTATTTATATTATTGAATTGATTATGATTATTATTATTAGTTTATTTGCATTAATTATATTTTAATCTTTTTGAGGCTAGTATTTGGCAGGAAATGCAGAATTCACCTGTAAACGCATACTGAACGACATACATGCACATTTACCATTTACCTCACTGTATACAAAAGTAACTGTTGATAATAATAATAAACAGGAATTATATTTGCAAAGTAGCCTACTTTGTTTTCACTCCTGTCGGTTGGAGGGGGGGGGCGGGGGGGGGCCTCATCTCACAATGTCGCTTGGGGCCCCAAGTTGGCCAGGGGCGGCCCTGCGAGTAAGATCTAAAAGTTGCACTGTCGCCTCCCACTAGAAGCATATACGCAATATTATTACATTGCTTAGTTAAATATTCAATTCTGATTAATCAAATCTGACATTACAGAGGTCTGTTTTTTTTCACGAACAGACCGTTGTTAGGGAGAATAGACCGTTGCTAGGGAGAACAGGCCATCGCTAGGGAGAACAGACTGTCGCTAGGGAGAGCAGAATGTTGCTAGGGAGAACAAACCATTGTAGAGGAGGATCGAGAGACTATATGCAGTCATATCACATCTTTACTTGGCGAGTACATTTTAAAATGATGTTAAATTAAAGGAAATAATATGAATATATTATATAGAAAGCCGTTCTTTGATACTCCAGATAACACACATGGTAAAGCCCCTCCTGCACTTATGTACAATGTAACACGTTATATATATTAAGGTTATCAAATGTCTATACAATCAAAGGTTAAAAAGCAAGAATGAGGAAATGAGTGGTGCTTTCTCTCACTTTTGGCAACATTGTCCTCAGGATATATGTAGCGATTGTACACGTCCATGATGAAAACGCGTTTATCGTCCAAGAAATCACGCTCGTGTCCATTCCCCTACAACAGAGCGGAAACACAAGATATAACAACATTTAATAAAAGGAACGCTTGTTATTTATTTCTACATGAATGGATCGTTATTGTTTAGTTGTGTGAATAAGCAACACAGCTGCCTAGGCTATCATTTCAATTGATGTGCAAACGAGAGCACTTTGTCATGTTCAGGGTTGTAATTAGGATTTTACTGCATATCCTCAATATTTCCCTGTGCCTCATTATCTGCTGAGAGGAGTACTTCAGACCCACCTGGATGCAGATTTTGCTCTTTGTTCTCCATTAATTATTTACTCCGCATCTTTATTGATCCTCTGCATGTGTCAATAGGTAAAGGCTCATCATTTCCCATAAGCTATAGCTCAAGAAAAAAGTGCTGTATTGTATTCCTGGAAAATAGCTATTAACCTTGGGAACATTGGGACATGCTTTTGTTTACATGCACCAGGTTATACAAGGATTCAAGCATCAGTTGTTGTCTTTCTGCAACACAGGGTTTATAGACAGTAGCCCAATAGTATAAATTACAAAGTTAAATGAAATTAACTTGACTAGGATGTTCAGCCATAGATTCAAACTGAAATATATAAGCAGTATAGCTTATTAGCTGGGACCTTTTGCAGTATTTCACCTGTTAACTTGTGTAGTAGATCATGAGAATCCCTCAGGAAGACTTTAAGCGAAATGATTACACAGATTAGTTGAATTCTCAATTCTGATTGGTCAATTTGGACATTCCAGATTTTTTACAAGCAGACCGTTGCTAGGGAGAGCAGACCGTCGCTAAGGAAAACAGACCGTTGTAAAGGAGGATCAAAGGACTATGTGCAGTCATATCAATCCGCAGAAAGTAGTTAGTGAACAAAACACATTAGTTTCATCCATCAGAAAACACTGTGAAATAACTTTTTTACATTTCTTTTTATATTTGTGCAGAAAACAAAACGTTAGATTCATGATGGCTAAACTGTCCCCAGGAAAGAAAGAGAGCAAGAGAAGACGAGAGGTTAATAGACATCAGAGAATTCAGCAGAAGAAACCAGACAGGAAGTAAACACTAAAGGTAACAGCAGAAGAAGACAGACAGGAAGTAAACACTAAAGGGAACAGCAGCAGAAGAAGAAGAAGAAGAAGAAGAAGAAGAAGAAGAAGAAGAAGAAGAAGAAGAAGAAGAAGAAGAAGAAGAAGAAGAAGACAGGAAGTAAACACTAAAGGGAACAGCAGAAAAAGACAGACAGGAAGTAAACACTAAAGGGAACAGCAGAAGAAGACGGACAGGAAGTAAACACGAATATGAACAGCAGAAGAAGAAGACAGGAAGTAAACACTAAAGGGAACAGCAGAAGAAGACAGACAGGAAGTAAACACTAAAGGGAACAGCAGAAGAAGACAGACAGGAAGTAAACACGAATGGGAACAGCAGAAGAAGACAGACAGGAAGTAAACACTAAAGGGAACAGCAGAAGAAGACAGACAGGAAGTAAACACTAAAGGGAACAGCAGAAGAAGACGGACAGGAAGTAAACACTAAAGGGAACAGCAGAAGAAGACAGACAGGAAGTAAACACTAAAGGGAACAGCAGAAGAAGACAGACAGGAAGTAAACACTAAAGAGAACAGCAGAAGAAGACAGACAGGAAGTAAACACGAATGGGAACAGCAGAAGAAGAAGACAGACAGGAAGTAAACACTAAAGGGAACACTGTATGGTCTCTAGCAGTGTTTAAAGACTGGTTAATGGAAATAAAGTAACATATATCAAAATGCTTTTGTTATTTCGCCCCTGAATCACATCAAACATGTATTATATAGCAAGACTAGAACTGTAGCCACTTTAAGGCACTATTTTGCACTTCAGTCACATCTCAGTGAAAACAAGCCGAAACACACAAGGCGCTGGAATTACTGCAGATAACCCAGTGCTGGTCTGTTATTATCTGATGCTGGTATGCACTCAACTGTTTTCCAGAGGAGATTATTTTCGTTACATTTCACTGATGGTGACAGTGAGGGCCAATTTGGTCTGCAGGGAGCCGTATTGATTGGCTGAAGTGGTGAAAGAGGGGTAATCTATGTGGGCTCCTGAGCATTGACACAGAACGAGGTAATGGTATCGGCTCACCTGATGAGCATCCAGATCAATGATGGTCGCCCTGGAGATGCCTTCCACTCTCTCAAACAGAAACTGAGAAACAGATGAGGAAATGTTTGCTTTCTCTCCGAAGAAGACACGTTCACAGTTCAGTATTTGTTAATGCATTGGAGTAACTTTCTTCCATCTTATGCCATATCTGGCCAAACTGCTTATGTGTTTTGAAATGTCAATGACATGTCAACCAAAGAGTGATTTGTGAACGTTACACTTATTACTGTAAAGATGGTTTTCATTAGCTGTAACTAGCCATCAAAAGCTAAAAGTCATACTAGACCAAGTAAAGCAATGCCAGCTGCTATGAACGGTCAGAAAACCAACGCGCTTCCCCACTAATCATCCTTTTATTTGAAGGAAAGCAGAGTGAGTAGTATATCAAAATGTTTAACTTTAACTGAAGATTCATAGCCATACGGCGTAACATGGGTAGCTTGCATATCGAATTGTTTGCTCTTCCACTCATAAGGCACTTTCACACCGGAGTACTTTTCCCAGTATAGTTTCGATAATTTGCGTTCACACCAAAAAGAGCCTGAACTAGAACTTAGTTCATGAGAACCGTTTCACCACCTTTTCCGTCCCTGCTAGAGAGCAGGTACTTTTGTGGGAGAAAAAGGTTCCTATGTCTGATTGGCTGGGCGGATTGCAAACCACGCCCCGTAAAACTCCCAAAAAGTTTTGTGAAGCCGCCATTTTATTATCCTCGCATTAGCATTATTAGCATTAGCATTAGCCCAGCGCAGAAATGCAGAGAGACTAATTTATGGCAACACAAAATAAAACATGGGAGCGGTGGAGATGAGGAGGTGTCGGCGTTCTGGCAATTTACTCGGAAGGCTTCAGTAGAAGCTGCTGGGAGTCCCAGCAGCTTCTACTGAAGCCAGTCCCCAACTCCGGGGACTTCCGGCCGGGGACTCCGGGTGGCAGTATACGCCGTGAAGTGGTTTGCGGCCTGCCAGTAAACCCAGAGCAGAAGAAGAAGAAGTGACGTCAGCGGCTTCATTTGCCTAATCCTCCCCCAGGGACTTATTCCGGTGTGAACGCGATCTGCTCTTTAGTTCTGATGAACTAAGTACGGCAAAGTACTTGGTGTGAAAGCGCCTATTGTCAACACCTATTCCTAAATTAAGGGGCAAAAAAGCCACCTAGAGGTTACTATTTATCAAGGAAAATGAGAGTAATAGCAACATCGATCAAAACGATAATAAACATCAGCACAGTGAAATCCAAAACATGCTCCACATAATCAAACAACGTACAAAAAATGGCTTCTCCAAACATTAGGTGAGTGTTTCCAATGAGCTAACAATGTACTTAACTCCAGTGTTTCTTAGCAAGTTGCTCGTCTCTCTTTTTCATCATGCACCAGTAAAGGTTTCTACGGAGCCCCCTAGGGGACATGGAGAATAAATTATTATTTGTTTTCTTCTCCATGTCCCCTAGGGGGCTCCGTAGGTTTCAGACTGTACATTTGGGTTAAACAAATCCTTATAATCTGAATATATTTAGTGGCATTTCATTTAACACTTTTAACAATGTTTTTGAACCCAAAGGGTGTGTGTTTTATTTTTAAAACATTTTGTCAAACTTTTGATGCCTTTCAATAAATATCCAACAGTTACCTTGATGGCCAGAGTGATGTCAGCGTAGGCACAGAAGCCCCCCCCTCTGTCGCTGGAGCAGTGGTGAAACCCTCCTCCTGGGAAACAGAAACACTGCATCAGTGTCAGGACATCTATGAGCATGTCACTGCAAACCTGAGAAACATATTTATCTCAACAGCAGCAATTGGTTTTATTGAGTTTGTAGCAGCTTATAATAACAGCTGCTGTGTCCCCTGTGTTACAACGAGTTGATGCTGAAATGCTTGAAGAGCAGTAATGTACAGCACAAGGAGGCAAACATGGGATGATAACCATTCAATCAGGTTATTACACGATTTAGTCGAATACTTGATTCTGATTGGTCAGTTTGGACCTTCCAGAGGTCTGCTCTTTTTTCCAAGCAGACCGTTGTTAAGGAGAACAGACCGTTGCTAAGAGGATCAAGAGACTGTGTGCAGTTATATCAATCCGCTGAAAGAAGTCCGATCAATTTATAATCAGCTGTGGACAACAAGCATTAGTTTCCATCTGTTAGAAAACACAGTGGGATACTTTGTGAATTTTTATTTTTATATTTATGGAGGGAGAGACACTTTGGATTCATGATGGCTTAACGATGTCCAATATATATAAAAAGAGGACAAGAGAAGGAACGAGGTTAAAAGGCAGAGCGCTGGACATCAGATAAATCAACAGAAGAAGACAGACAGGAAGTAAACACTAAAGGGAACACAGTATGGGCTGTATCGATGGTATACTGTATATCTATACATCTATCTAATTATCTCTTTTGGTTACTGAACAAGAAACTCACTCACCCACATTCACAGCCCACCCTCGGTCTATAGCCAGTTTTCCGGCCTGTGGTAGAAAGAAAACAAACTTCGAATACATTTTTTAAATCAACATAGACAAATACATAAAGTGTAACCAGAATACCAATTGACAAAATAAAAAATCAACTTTTCCAACTTACATGAAGCGAACAATCATTAAAGGTCCCCTATCATACTGTTTTTCATCAATATATCACAGGTCTCAGATATATCCAGAACCTGTCTCTGATTGGCTGAAACACCAAACAGATCATTGCAGCATTACCCATAATCCCCTCTGTTTCAGCCCTGTTTCAAAAGTGCTGATTCTCTGTCTGTTACTTTAGATGAAAATAAGGAGCCCCTCCCCACGCCCCTCTGAGAGACATTTGGTTACAAAGAACTCAATGGTGCTCTAGGAGGAGATTCAGGTGATAAGGGGGGGGGGGGGGTTACCTTGGTTGCTGATTGGCTAATGGTTACACAAGACAAAACATCGTTATGACATCATAAAGTGGCCAAAATCTGATCAGCTCATTTTCAGACAGGTTTTTATAGAAATGGATCAAAAAGAGAGAGAATCTTTGGTCCTGAAACTTTCAGAGTCTCTTTCCACAGAGGGGACACATGTTGATGTAGAGGAGACATGAAGAAGAGGGGACACATGTTGATGTAGAAGAGACATGAAGAAGAGGGGACACATGTTGATGTAGAAGAGACATGAAGAAGAGGGGACACATGTTGATGTAGAAGAGACATGAAGAAGAGGGGACACATGTTGATGTAGAAGAGACATGAAGAAGAGGGGACACACAGGGCCGCCCCTCCCTACAGGCCAATCACGCAGGCTGCATGGGGCCCCGCCTTGCGCAGGGGGCCCTGCCCAGAGGGCCTCAGCTGCTGTGCGCAGATCTCCGCTCAGTTCTCCGCGCACCCCCCGCGAGAGTGAGAGGTGACAAGGGGAGCACGTCTGTAACCCGACACCGTTGCAATTAATCGACATCTGACCAATCACGGCTTTGATACGGCCACGAGTGCAGGTGAAGAGATGTCGGTGAAAAGACAGTTTCAGTCCGGCGCAAGCAAGAGGGGAAAAAAACAAAACTTGAAGAAACTAGAGCATCACTCGAAGGTGGGTTATTGTCAAATGTACAACTTGCGAATGTTGTATAAGTCAAATTGCCATATTAAAACATCAGCTGCAATTCAGGACATGAAGAAGGCAGTCTCTGCAGAGCATACAGGCTAATGGAGATGCAGTTATTTCCAGCATTCTTTATTTACCATTCATTCAAGTATGTGATGCCTTTTATCTGCTAATGTACAGGAGGAAGAGTGATACACTGTCTGTCTAGTTTGCTTACATAACAGTTAAAGTTTACAGCCTAAAAAACATGGAGCATTTTTCCCCCTTATATTCATTTTTATGTCAATTTGCACATTTCATGGTGACGCTCAGCCTCTCCCCTTAACTCCTAACAGTCATCATCATGGTGACACTCAGCATCTCCCCTTAACTCCTAAGTCATCATCATGTCAACCACAACACAGAGAAATACTGAGAGAAATGTGTGTGTAGTTGTTGACACATTGCTGACAGAGGGAACTACATTTGAATACAAGAAATATCAGTTTTTGAGCATGTCATAAGCATGTTTTGTCTTGACTATACAACTATATTATAATAAAATAATATAGTATTTATATTATTGAATTGATTATGATTATTAGTAGAAGTTGTTTATTTGCATTAATTATATTTTAATCTTTTTGAGGCTAGTATTTGGCAGGAAATGCAGACGTATTCACCTGTAAACGCATACTGAACGACATACATGCACATTTACCATTTACCTCACTGCATAAAAAAGTGTTGATAATAATAATAAACAGGAATTATATTTCCAAAGTAGCCTACTTTGTTTCCAAAAAAAAAATGTTTCACTCCTGAGACTTTGGGGGGGGGGCCTCATCTCACAATGTTGCTTGGGGCCCCAAGTTAGCCAGGGGCGGCCCTGGGGACAGATGTTGATGTAGAAGAGACATGAAGAAGAGGGGACACATGTTGATGTAGAGGAGACATGAAGAAGAGGGGACACATGTTGATGTAGAAGAGACATGAAGAAGAGGGGACACATGTTGATGTAGAAGAGACATGAAGAAGAGGGGACACATGTTGATGTAGAAGAGACATGAAGAAGAGGGGACACATGTTGATGTAGAAGAGACATGAAGAAGAGGGGACACATGTTGATGTAGAAGAGACATGAAGAAGAGGGGACACATGTTGATGTAGAAGAGACATGAAGAAGAGGGGACACATGTTGATGTAGAAGAGACATGAAGAAGTGGATTTTGAATAATAGGTGACCTCTAAGTGGCGTTTGCATTGCATTTTACTGAAGAAATTAAACAAATTCTCAATCTCAAATAGCTACCATTATGGTTCCTCCGGTCTGCGTCCTCAAAGGCCTCAACACTCTCCGCTGAACCAGGAAATTAGGCAGGAAGATGAGAGGTGGGATTTCTGTGATGTTTGCCACCACCATAGACCACTGAGATAAATGAAAAACACAGTTAGTGACGGTTAAAAGATTATAACTGTGACTTTATCTCCTAGAAGGCAAACAAAACCACAGATGGACTGAAACGTAAATAAACCCAAACAGGAGAATGTGTGAGGTTTCTACAAACGGAAAAGATAAAGTGTGGTTCCTCAGGTAATAATAATAATAATCATTATATTTATTATAGCGCTTTATCAAAGACTCTCAAAGCGCTTTACAATATGTAATGGTCATCTACTGTGGACAATACCCACAGGAGCAAATTCGAGTGTCTTGCCCAAGGACACAACGGCCTGACGCAGTGGGGCGGGAGCGGGTTTCAAACTGGAGTTCCCCAACGCCCCCTTGATCTGATGATCAAACGCACAGACCACTGCGCCACCCGTCCCGGTAGGTAAATCTAACACACTGTATATGAAGACGCCAAAACTGTTTACACTTGTGTAACTCATTCTAATATAAAACTAATTTAAATCTAGTTTTGCTATAAAAACCTGGGACTGCATTGTTTGTTAATCCTTTTTGTCTGTCGTGTTATTATTTTTAAATTATTATTATTTAAAAAGAAATTGATATTTCTAATCTTTGTTTAATTAATTTAGTTCATATTTATCATATTGTTTTTACTCTACTAGTACTATTACTTTTGAGTTTTTTTATTTATTTGTTTACGATATGTTACACTATGTTTGATATGTTTTAGTTTTTCAGTAATAATGAGCCTAGTCTTGAGCATATATTAATTAAAAGCAAACACAGTATTTCAATTTAATAAATTAGGCGTCAACCTAAAACACATTTTTAAAATAGGAGGAATGAAAGAAACCAAAATGAAAATTCAGGCAGTACGTCAAGCTATAATATTTTGATCTTTATTTTAGCTGTATTTTAACATCCTGCTAGTAATCCAAGTCTTAGACATTTAACAGTATGATTACTTCTTTCTGTATGTAACTGTAAGGCAATACAGTTACATTTGATTGGATCCTGTCACATGTAATAATAATCATAATAATACATTTTAATTATGAAGGCGCCTTTCAAGGTACACAAAACAAAAACAAAACAGCACAGAAACAAGACAATATGTACAACATGTAAACCCTAAACCTGTGCCATTATTAAGTGTCATACTGAGAGGTGTGTTGTGGGTAATCTGAGTGACCTTCAGTTTGTTGAGGTAGCGCTTGGTGTGAACCACCAGCAGATCTTCTTCAGAAGCTTCTCGCGCCTCCACCATGTTGTCATCAGTGAGAAACTGCTCCTCTGAGACAGAAACAGGATCAGTTAGACTCAGACTATCTCCAGATTGAAAACTGGCTAAACTGGACTTCAACATCAATACTAAACAATAAACCTATGTACTAAAGCAGGAGTCGATATTCACCATAATTCTGCAAATCCCAAAGAATTCCCAAAACGTTGATCGTTGTGGTGACAAAACTAGCAGGTAAAAATGTTACTTAAAAATGATGATATTAAATATTAATACAAATGAAAAAACACTCCATATAACAAATGCTCAAAGACGCTTTACAAAAAATGTTGTTCCAGTCTTAAAAAAACGAGCAGGTTTGCACAGCATAAAACAAATATGAATAATAATAAATAACAATATGAATACACATTTGTTTTTTAAATCCATCAAAAAAAGATAAAAAAGAAATGCATTGGAGGAACTGAGTGTTCTTTAAAGGTCACCTATCATGCTATTTGCAGGCAATAGCATAGGTCTCAGATATATCAAAAATATTTTAAAAATATGTCACCCATTCTAGCCATGCCTCACATCCCTCTATTTCACTTCCTGTTTCAAAAGTGCTGATTTGGGTATAAAGCTTTAGGAGGGGGCGGAGCTCATGCGGGACCCGGCAGCTACTGTCTAAACTAAATGCTGTCGTGATGAAACGCCATATCATGGATTATCAAGGATTCTCTCTGAAACAGTCTGGAGCTCAAAGACTTTCTCTCTTGCCGGTTATACCACAAGGTGAGTTCCTTTTTACTTCCTGCTTCTTCACACACATGCTCTCCAGTACAGGTTAGCTCTGAGTGTTAGCGATGCTAATGTAAACACCGACCATATTACGTCCAACACAGTCGGGCATTGTTTCTGATAGCAACGTTTCTGATTGGGCCGTGGGTCCACATTTCAGATATTACGTCATATCGGACGACAATCTGCATCAGCTCCGTTGTTCCCCGTTTTTAGAGATTTGGGTACGGAGGAAAAGAGAGAGGGTTTTATTTTCTGACACTGCGTGAGTTCCCCGACACACCAGGGACACATGTTTATGTATAAAAGACATCACAAAGTGCATTTCGCATGATAGGTCCCCTTTAAGTTTGTAAAATGACTAATATATGTAGGGGCAAGTTTATTTAAAGCCTTGTAAGTCAGTTTATTTATATTTGTAGTTTTGTCTATTATAGAGTATTCTAATGTATTCAGTATTTGTTATATTGTATATTCTTCAGATACTCAAATGCTATACTGTATCTTTCCTACAGTTGATATGTACATTTTACATTTTAATCTATTTCTATGTATTTGTATTATATATATAAATCATGTGTAATACTTTCTGCTGCTGTGTCGAAAACATTTCCCCACTTTATATGAATAAAGTACATCTAACCTTAAAAATAGCCACTTTGACCACATATTGCCAAGGTAAACATAAAAGAAGCAAGGCTTTCCTCCGTCAGCAGAGTCAGAGTTTTACGTGCACTTTTAGCTCCTCAATGTGTTTGAATTAAGCTGTGGACGACACTTTCTCACTTTTGCATGAAGGTGTGCCAGCTAGCAGTTTTTGCCTGACTCTCTCTCAGAAGCTTTCATTGCCATCTCTACTGTAGCTCTGTGCATAAGACAATCTTTGAATCCTGCACAGCCCCCCTCAGCGAGTGTTTCCTCCTCCATCTCCCTCTCCTCTCTTTGTTCTCCCTCCGAATGATTCCATGTATCATCATGGTCCCTGGTAGACCCCCCCACACAAATAACAACACAGACTATAGACTTTTTGCACTACTTTTTATTCTGTATTTTTGTATTCTATTATATATGTTGCATCGTTGAAGCAACTCAGGTCAGAATAATTTCATTGCCATTTCTACACTGTAGCTTTGTGCATACGACAATAAACCCTTTGAATGAATTGAATGAACACCTCTTGTTGTTAAATACCAACTATGTGCAATATGTGCAATATATATATATGCCGTTAATATCTGTGCAATACCTGGCTGCTAAATCTTCACAACTGTTAAAGGATGTGTATTTTGTAAATAGGCACGCAATGACTCTAAAGAATAATGATCACGCACCAAACACACATTCAGACTAAAGGAACCAGCTGTTTGGAAATGAGAGAAGTAGAAAGTACAGGTATTTGAGTTCAACATGTAAGAAGTAGAAAGTACAGGTATTTGAGTTCAACATGTAAGAAGTAGAAAGTACAGGTATTTGAGTTCAACATGTAAGAAGTAGAAAGTACAGGTATTTGAGTTCAACATGTAAGAAGTAGAAAGTACAGGTATTTGTGTTCTACATGTAAGAAGTAGAAAGTACAGGTATTTGAGTTCAACATGTAAGAAGTAGAAAGTACAGGTATTTGAGTTCAACATGTAAGAAGTAGAAAGTACAGGTATTTGAGTTCAACATGTAAGAAGTAGAAAGTACAGGTAGTTGTGTTCAACATGTAAGAAGTAGAAAGTACAGGTATTTGAGTTCAACATGTAAGAAGTAGAAAGTACAGGTATTTGTGTTCAACATGTGAGAAGTAGAAAGTACAGGTATTTGAGTTCAACATGTAAGAAGTAGAAAGTACAGGTATTTGAGTTCAACATGTAAGAAGTAGAAAGTACAGGTATTTGAGTTCAACATGTAAGAAGTAGAAAGTACAGGTATTTGAGTTCAACATGTGAGAAGTAGAAAGTACAGGTATTTGAGTTCAACATGTAAGAAGTAGAAAGTTCAGGTATTTGGGTTCAACATGTGAGAAGTAGAAAGTTGTCAGAAAAATAAGTATTGGAATAAAGTACTGATACCAGAAAAATGTACTTAAAGGAGACCTATCATGCTATATTTGAATAATATATTGTAGGGCCATACCTATATAAGGTATATTTATACGTTTTATTTTTCAAAATACCAAACAGATCATGCCTCATTTCGCTCTATTTCGCTCTCCTCCAGCCTGTCTTTGCATGCTGCAGCTGACCACGCCCCCCTGCAAAGGAGGGGGCCGAGTTACGAGCGTCATGTTACCATGCTGTTACCATGCTGTTACCATGCCACAGCAACCTCTCATTCCCCTGATTGGTGGAGAGTTGGCCATATAGGCGGAGCTCCTCGTCACTGACGTCACACTATTTTCAAATCTGTATCAGTCTGTGTCAGATCCGTTCCAGACCCGTTTTTAGAGATTTGGGTATGGAGGAAAAGAGAGAGGGTTGTGTTTTCTGACACTTGGTGAGTTCCCTGACACACCGGGGACACATATTCATGTATAAAAGACATACAAAAGTGCATTTTGCATGATAGCTCCCCTAACAAAGTATTTGTACTCCACTACTTCCCACCTCTTAACATGAAGCTGTCTGTGGCTCTTTGCTGCTGTAACCATGTAAATGTCCCCTCTGAGGGACTAATATTCTGATTCTGAATGTCTCCTCAGGGATTCGCTCTCCCCATCTTTCACTCTGTGTCTCCTTTTCCTCTCACCTTTCAAGAAGTGAATGACTTTCCCCCACTTCCCTGCATCAAACGGATGCAGCTTCTCGAGGCCCATGAAGGTGATGTTGTAGTCCGGGTGGTACACGATGGGCAGACATGTCAGCGGGATGCGGGCGTACAGATCTGTGTGGTGAGAGCTGGAAAAGGGAAAGTAAAACAAGTTGCACAAGGGCCACTTATACATGGATTTATTTAAGAGGCCCTATTATGCTTTTGGGGGATTTTCCCTTTCCTATAATGTGTTTTTTGTGCATGTAAATGGTCTACAGAGACTAAAATCCCCTCCATTGGACTCTTTTGTTTACTTCTTGGACATCGTGACATCACAATGTAAGACTTGTGCTTCTATTGGCTAGCACTCCAACACATTGTACGTGATTGGCTAAGGGGCGGGACATCTCTAAGCGGTTGACTAATCACAACAGAGCCGGCCAGCTAACCAATAAGAGCAGACTGGGCTCTGGTATCAGACAGAGGGTGAAAAGAGGTGCTGCAGCACAGGCAGTATGAGAACAATAAAGAGCTTTTTGAACATTAAAGCATGGAGACATGTAGAGACACTACATACTGATATACACCTGAACATCAGCAGGAGAGGACTCTTTAAAGTAGAGACACTACATACTGATATACACCTGAACATCAGCAGGAGAGGACTCTTTAAAGTAGAGACACTACATACTGATATACACCTGAACATCAGCAGGAGAGGACTCTTTAAAGTAGAGACACTACATACTGATATACACCTGAACATCAGCAGGAGAGGACTCTTTAAAGTAGAGACACTACATACAGATATACATCTGAACATCAGCAGGAGAGGACTCTTTAAAGTAGATACACTACATACTGATATACACCTGAACATCAGCAGGAGAGGACTCTTTAAAGTAGAGACACTACATACTGATATACACCTGAACATCAGCAGGAGAGGACTCTTTAAAGTAGAGACACTACATACTGATATACATCTGAACATCAGCAGGAGACGACTCTTTAAAGTAGAGACACTACATACTGATATACATCTGAACATCAGCAGGAGAAGACTCTTTAAAGTAGAGACACTACATACTGATATACACCTGAACATCATCAGGAGAGGACTCTTTAAAGTAGATACACTACATACTGATACACCTGAACATCAGCAGGAGAGGACTCTTTAAAGTAGAGACACTACATACTGATATACACCTGAACATCAGCAGGAGAGGACTCTTTAAAGTAGAGACACTACATACTGATATCCACCTGAACATCAGCAGGAGAGGACTCTTTAAAGTAGAGACACTACATACTGATATACACCTGAACATCAGCAGGAGAGGACTCTTTAAAGTAGAGACACTACATACTGATATACACCTGAACATCAGCAGGAGAGGACTCTTTAAAGTAGAGACACTACATACTGATATACACCTGAACATCAGCAGGAGAGGACTCTTTAAAGTAGAGACACTACATACTGATATACACCTGAACATCAGCAGGAGAGGACTCTTTAAAGTAGAGACACTACATACTGATATACACCTAAACATCAGCAGGAGAGGACTCTTTAAAGTAGAGACACTACATACTGATATACACCTGAACATCATCAGGAGAGGACTCTTTAAAGTAGAGGCACTACATACTGATACACCTGAACATCAGCAGGAGAGGACTCTTTAAAGTAGAGACACTACATACTGATATACACCTGAACATCAGCAGGAGAGGACTCTTTAAAGTAGAGACACTACATACTGATATACACCTGAACATCAGTAGGAGAGGACTCTTTAAAGTAGAGACACTACATACTGATATACACCTGAACATCAGCAGGAGAGGACTCTTTAAAGTAGAGACACTACATACTGATATACACCTGAACATCAGCAGGAGAGGACTCTTTAAAGTAGAGACACTACATACTGATATACACCAGAACATCAGCAGGAGAGGACTCTTTAAAGTAGAGACACTACATACTGATACACACCTGAACATCAGCAGGAGAGGACTCTTTAAAGTAGAGACACTACATACTGATATACACCTGAACATCAGCAGGAGAGGACTCTTTAAAGTAGAGACACTACATACTGATATACACCTGAACATCAGCAGGAGAGGACTCTTTAAAGTAGAGACACTACATACTGATATACACCTGAACATCAGCAGGAGAGGACTCTTTAAAGTAGAGACACTACATACTGATACACACCTGAACATCAGCAGGAGAGGACTCTTTAAAGTAGAGACACTACATACTGATATACACCTGAACATCAGCAGGAGAGGACTCTTTAAAGTAGAGACACTACATACTGATATACACCTGAACATCAGTAGGAGAGGACTCTTTAAAGTAGAGACACTACATACTGATATACACCTGAACATCAGCAGGAGAGGACTCTTTAAAGTAGAGACACTACATACTGATATACACCTGAACATCAGCAGGAGAGGACTCTTTAAAGTAGAGACACTACATACTGATACACACCTGAACATCAGCAGGAGAGGACTCTTTAAAGTAGAGACACTACATACTGATATACACCTGAACCTCAGCAGGAGAGGACTCTTTAAAGTAGAGACACTACATACTGATATACACCTGAACATCAGCATAATAAAGGGCTCATTTAACCCAGTGACTAAATGAGCTTTCTTGGAAGTGTCATGCTGTTAGTTTGTGCTCACCTTCCTTTCCCTTTATTATCTTCGTTGTGAGACATGTCTTTCAGGCATTGCTACTTTCACCTTGGGGAAAAAGGGAAAAATGAAATGTAACTTCCACAACAGTAGACAGTAACTCTATTTAAATGTTTTATAATAAAATACATTTGATAATATTCATAGCATATTCTATTTGTATGTATTATGAATTATACTTATTTTCTTATTTATTATATTTTATATTTGATTTGTTATTCTTTAAAAATGTAGTTTTATTTAGTTTAAATGCATTAAGTAATTAAGTGTTTATTTACTTTGTACAAATAACTTAATGTAAAGGGGGGAATATCTTAAAGATCTCCAAATACATCCATGGACAATGAACTAGGACCCGATGCATTATAGACAATACAAAGATAAGTAATACAACTAATTACAAAACTTTAAAACCTTTGCAACTATTCAACTGCGCAATATCCCTTAGGATTATCACTGTTGTAAAGTGAACATTTCAAGCAATAATTCAAGCTATTATAATTGAAGAACAATGTGCCATTTTTTTTTAACCTTTAAGTTCTTATGTTTATTTAAAATATGTTTTATTTTATTGCATTTAGTTTTATTTTATTATTTCATTGTATTTTATAGAAACAAAATAAAACAAGCAACTATCAGTAAAACCCAAATCTCCCCTGGAATACATAAAGCATCGCGCATGCGCAGTGACATGTGTACAGAGACGCAAAAGCACCATGAAGGAAACGACACACACACACCGCCTCAAAACATGAATGAGCAGGTCTCTAATGATGTGTTCCAGGTTATTTTAATTTTGAAGACACAACGTTAGCACGGTTACTGCCTGAAACAGACCGGAAGTGTTTCAGAACACAGAAACCAGCCGCTATCACTCACCTGTCAGACTGTGGAGGAAACAGCCTCTGGAAATAAGAAGTTACTGCAGACTGTCAATATATTTCCTTCCCGACATGCTTTGACTCTGTTTGTTCCTCCGGAGCCTGCTGACAGAAAGGACATCGGGTTTTATTGACAGTATTTCTTCACAGTATCCGTCCTGCTGCTGTCGCGCTGCTACGCTCATTACGTAACATACGTAGAAAGCGCTCACGTAAAAACACACGCACATTTAAAGCAGAAGAAACACGAAGTCCAGACAGAGTTCACTTTCAGATTTATTTCACTGTTATTACTAAAGAATACTTCCAGTGTTTCTAATGCTCCAGGCTGGACTTAAGGCTTCATTTTGATGCTGCAAAATATACCCTATAGTTTCAATAACGCTTTTATCCAAAGCGACTTACATACTCAATACTGTGGGCAATCCCCACAGGAGCAATTTAGGGTGAAGTGTCTTGCCAGCAGGGACACAACGACATGCTGACTGTAGTGGGGTTTGAACCTGTGATCCCCTGATCCGAACACCAACTCACCAGACCACTATGCCACACGCCTCATGCAACAATACTGCTCTTGTGCAATTTACACCTGATTGTATTTCTTAATTTTTTTTATATCGGTGACTTCAGTACTTTTATATGTTCACATTTTCCCGGAAAGAAACTTCAATTTTTTTTTATTTACAATGGTGTATGTATTTTTCTACTTATTTTGTTTAATAATATTGTTTATTAAAGCGTACTTTCCTTTTTAAGCCTACTCTTTATTTTGTCCTTGCAGAAGTGGATCGGTACAAAGCCTTGGCGATCCCTTAAAATAGCCAATTTCCCTGGTTTGTAATGCCCTAATAGGATCTTATGTTTACAAGTATCAGAATTATGCAATTAAATAGTAACCTACATTTGTAACCACTTCTGCAAAACTAACCTGGAACAAAACTAGAGTACACCCTTCATTAATTAATCACATGTAATCCATTACGCCCCAATCGTGCATAAGAGAACCTCAAAGGTTTTATACTCCCTTTCAGGTGGATATTTGAACCATCAATAATCACATGTTGTTTTTTAGCATTGTTCAGCAGAAAACAATGCTACGATAAGTCTCCCAAATGTTGATTATTTCATCAGTTTAAAGATCACTTCTACATCTATCCCTTTCAAATCTAGCGATAGAACTATTAACAAAGCACTTTTATACTAATAAAGGACTGGCTTATCTAAAGCCAGTTGAGTAGCACTTGAAATGTTTGGCTCTATGAAACCTGATGTACTTATGATTCTGTTTTCTTCAAGGTTGTGTCTTCTTGGTCGAATGTACTTATTGTAAGTCGCTTTGGATAAAAGCGTCAGCTAAATGCAATGTAATGTAATCTAACATGCCTCATGTCTCAGTTGATATCATTTTGATTATGTTTAGTATAATTATTCAGGGTGACCCCGGGGTCTTAAAAAGTATTAAAAGTTGATAAATCAATTTAGCGAAAATGAAGGCTATTAAAAAGTATTAAAGGGTATTTTCCAAGGTATTACATTTTGTAGCTTGTTTTCAGTAAGTATATGAATTGTCCAAAGAGGTTGTATTCTACAGTCTGCCTGAATGTAATCATGGCGTAGGTGTGTAGTGTGATTCTGTGTAGTTTATTGATGGCATCCCGTTGGGTGTGACGTCATCTGAACAGGACATCGCGCGCTCACTGCTTGATAGCGCGAAGGCCCGTTTACGCCGGTTGCTAAACAGCATCGTCATGGGGAAATGCAAGTCTGCGTCCAAATGGTTGGAAGATAAGGAGGAAGGACAATCAATACTGTATATAGTCAATGTGAGGTAAAGTGTGTCGCCAAAGTAACCGGTTAGAACTCCAAGTGGCGATGAGGTCTAAACATGTATGGAAAGGGTCTTAAAAAAGGTCTTCAAAGGTTTTGCATTTGACTTCAGGATTCCTGTTATCAGCAAAGGCTTAAATCCCTGTGTTCCCTTCATAATGTGCGGCAGGGATTTAGCAAGGGTAACATTAAATCCTCTTTACTTCCACAACATCCCAAATGTTCCAACAGGGATCAATACCATTTCATCTGATCTGATCTCAGTGGGAGCAATAATGTGACCACAACGTCTCCTAAAGGCTGTTTTCTGTTGTGTAACTGAGATATAAAGACTCCACACACCACTGCTTTTACATGTATTCACTATTATAAATGTGGGTAAAGAAGGAGACGTCTACACATAGGGAGTAATGGATTACATATAACGGCATAATTAGGATACAACAAACGCGACTTGTATTCCCTTACAGTGACATAAAAAAAGACTGTATCAGATTATATTTCTAGCCGGACAGACAATAGGAGATACCAGCTAATTCAAGTTCTTCACTTCATTTGAACTACATTGGTTTTGTATGGGGGTTATTCCCTATCTTTATTCAAGAGCGTGGTATTTAAATTTGAGAGCATACTTTATGTATTTATTTCCCTCAAACCCTGTCCTCGCACTCAAATAGTGCCTGCTTGCACTTAGATTTGCTCTGCTTGTGCTCAAACTGTACGCTTGCACTCAGATATATTGCTGTTTACATATTTGTTCTGCTCTCAGATTTATTCTGTGCGCGCTCGAAACTTTGTGCAACAATCCTGTCAAAATCCCTCAACCAATAGGAGGCCAGGTGTCCTTGCGGGTGCGTTCGCTTTATTTATTACAGCGTCCCGTAAGGGCGGTTACTCTTTGGTTTATAAACTCCCGCCCTCCACGGCTTTATAACATAGCATGTACTTCACTTGTTTGATTTACAACTTTTTTTTGGGGGGGGGGGGGGAAGCACAGTTAGTATATATATACCAGCACCTTACATAATAGCTACGTTCAGTGGCGTACTGGGACTAAAAATCAGCCCGGGAATCTCGACCGGCCCTCGTTATTGCTAGTAAATTGTCAACGGGGGGAGGGGGGATTGCTAGTGAATTTTCCGACCGGCCCACTTCTTCCTCCAGACTGTTGTTCTGCTCCAGCACTGTTGTGCTACGGCTTGGTTCGGCCCGACGCGAAGCGGAGTGTCGACAACTCCATATTGTATAGATATTCGTATATCACGGCCTGAAGTGAGCTATTGCATTTATAAAACGGTTACCACGTGTGGCTGACAATGTGAAAGAAAAATACACACTCCAATTTAAATAGTTTTTATTATTAAATAATGATGTTCAAAATAAAATAGTCCCTCCGTTGCCTTCTGCACAGAACATAGTGCGAGGTGGTTGCTATGCAACAACAATAACAGCTAGAGAACATATTAGACGTCGTTTAGGTGCTTTTTTTTTTGGAGATAGGCACTTCTCAATCCACTCCTCCATAGTAAGGCCACCCGGAGGTCGAAGTTAACCTTAAATGTTTCCATCTTAAGCTTTGTTAGTTAGCCTAGTTAGTTAGTTTCATAACGGACAACAGTTGTAACAGTTGTAACGGTTCTCAGACGCGGAGGGATACTGATTTGTGAAAAGTAACTACAATTATACCCGGGATATACGCTCATTATATCAGCTAAGAAACATCAGATTGCTTGATTTGACTTGTCCGTTTTATAAACATATACTAAGTGTGCTTACCCCCCCCCCCACAAAAAAAAGTTGTACAGCGAAGTGAAGTACATGTTATGTTATAAAGCCGTGGAGGGCGGGGAGTTTATAAACCAAAGAGTAACCGCCCTTACGGGACGCTGTAATAAATAAAGCGAACGCACCCGCAAGGACACCTGGCCTCCTATTGGTTGAGGGATTTTGACAGGATTGTTGCACAAAAGTTTCGAGCGCGCACAGAATAAATCTGAGTGCAGAACAAATCTGTAAACAGCAATATATCTGAGTGCAAGCGTACAGTTTGAGCACAAGCAGAGCACATCTAAGTGCAAGCAGGCACTATTTGAGTGTGAGGACAGGGTTTGAGGGAAATAAATACATAAAGTATGCTCTCAAATTTAAATACCACGCTCTTGAATAAAGATAGGGAATAACCCCCATAGTTTTGGACATGTACAATTATATTTAAGTGAAAGAAAACCTGATTTTGATAACTTTGATTTAATTTACTCTGTTTCGATATTCAGGTCAAACAGTATATTTTTTTGTCGTTATAAATACAACTTGTTGAGCTTAAATCAACCGACCACGCCTATGTTTAAGAACGGACACAAATAACCCAGTCATACTATAAAACAAGTATACTCCTTAAAACGTTCTCAATGTTATCCGGTTCAATTGCAATCCAGTGCTTGAAATAAGAAACTAGTAATTTACTGACTGTTCCTGATCATCTGTATACAGACAGATAAGGAGGGTTCGGCACCTAAAGAACCACGATAAGGTTGCAGGATGGAGTCAGGGTTTCATGACTTCACTGCTGGCTCTGGTGATCAGATGATGTTTACATCAGTGTAAACACAGAGAGGCACTGAGAGGCTTTGTTTGAGCTGGAATACAATGCAGTGTGTGTCTTTTGTCTTCCAGTGTTCCTATAATGCTTTCACTTTACTGCATTCATTTTCTAGCTTAAGAAAGGACATATGATGCTCATTTTCAGTTTCATATCAGTATGCAGTGTCTCCATGCTTTCATGTTCAAAAAGCTCTTTATTCTTCTCATACTGTCTGTGCTGCATCATCTCTTTTCACCCTCTGTCTGAAACCAGAGCCCAGTCTGCTCTGATTGGTTAGCTGGCCGGCTCTGCTGTGATTGGTCAACCGCTTAGAGATGTCCCGCCTCTTAGCCTATCACGTACAATGTGTTGGAGCGCTAGCCAATAGGAGCGCGAGTGTTACATAGTGATGTCACTATGTTCTGGAGGTAAACAAAGGAGTCCAATGGAGATGTTTCAGGAAGTGTGTGGGAGAGAAACTCCTTCTGGAGGGGACACAAGGATGTTAATCTTTGCAGACCATTTACATGCACAGAAACCTATAGAACAGCCCAAAAGGCAGAATAGGGCCTCTTATACATATTATTGTTGTTCCTTTTTTGTTGTAGTCCAAGTTCTTGTCCAAATGTAAAGGAAAGTCATCAGAAAACATTATTTTCATATATTGATATTCAGATTGGGTAACTGATTGACTTTTCTCAGTTAATGTATAAAAACAGCTGACTTTGAATTTAAAAAGTGAATAAAAGAGTCATGATTTTTACACAGCGACGCCATGCTGTTC